GTGACAACCACATTCCACTATCTTATATGTTGTTCTCCACACAGATGAGGATCTTAACCACTTAATGAGCAAGTCTTCTCTGGTTGCAGCCCCCTGCACCTCCCAAAGAGCTCTTTGGGGGATGTCTAAGGGCCAAACAGGGAATATACCAAACTTCTATACTTTTTTTAGCTCACAAAAATCTGGGATATCTTGATTTATTGCTCAGATAAGCGTCCGGCACGCTTCCCCCATTGCGTAGGCCTCTGCATTCCAAAGGGCACATTCCGATACTTCTGAGCATAGCAGAGTTCGTCAGCGGCTAGAAGAAACCAAAACACTCCAGTGCATTCTTCAGTGTGCTTAAACGAAGTCCACTCAGGATATTAGCAGCTAAAAGCAGTTTTATTTACAGCAGGCTATCCATTATCTATCACAGCGAACAGCATCGCGAAAACACGTCCTCTCTCCTCAAAAGCGAAAGTAGAGAGACAGAACAAAGACTTTAGTCTCTCGGAACTGACGTAGCTCCCCCCTCCCAACTGTAGGCAGGGCGTACATTCTGAGCTGTTTAACCCTGTAAGCTCAGGTTCTCACACCCCCTCTCGCCCTGCGCTACTGTGGGGACGGTAAGTACAGAACTTACCCCCAACTCCAAACCACCACAAAACTCCCCATGACGCTGGAAGCTTAAAGGTTTGGTAAATCCATCGGCCAGGTTACTGTGACTGGCACAGTACTTCAGTCGTATCAAACCTGACTGAACACTCTGACACACATTTCGGAAACGTATGTCCAGATGCTTGGTTCTCGCCTTAAATTGCGCAGATTCAGCCAACTTCAAACAAGGCTGATTGTCTTCCCAAACCGTGATGGGCAAGCTACAATCCCCATAGATCTCTTGCACCAAGCATCTATAGAACTCTAGTTCCCGGCACAAATCTGACAGTGCACTGAATTCAGCCTCAGTAGAAGACAGCGCAATGAGACTCTGCTTCCGGGACTTCCACCCAACTAGTGACCTCCCAAACTTTATCACCAACCCAGACACAGACTTGCGGTCCTGCGAATTCGCCCAGTCACTGTCCGCATAGCATGTGAGCTTCGCCTCACCTTCAGCTGGCAGCTTAAGACAGAAGTCTTTGGTATGCTGCAGGTAGCGCAGTACCCGCTGATACCGTGCCAAGCACTCACACTGGGCTTTGACGCTTCCCTACTTAGCAGGTTGGTAGCAAAGGCAATGTCTGGTCTGCTCCATTGGGACAGATACAACAGACTACCTAGAGCTGACTGAAAGATCTCAGCATTCTCAAACTCAGCACTCTCTGCTTGCTGGCTATCTTTCACGAAGTTCGTCTCCATGGGTGTCCGAACTCCTGCACAATCGGACATTCTGAACTTCTCCAGCAACTGCTCAATCTTGCCTTTCTGACTGAGCAAGAAGCTACCATCCTCAGTTCTCGCTATCTGAACACCTAGGTAGATCTTTACTGCACCCAGGTCCTTGAGCTGAAACCGTTTCCCAAGCTCTTTGGCAAACTTCTGCACCTGTTTGTCTGCCTTTCCAACATGGATGATGTCATCAACGTAAAACAACACCAGTTCCTGTGAGTCTCCTGATCCTCTAAGGAACAGGCAACTGTCAGCAAGACTCTTCCTGAAACCTAGCTTCTCCAAAGCTTCATTCAGGCACAAGTTCCAATTCCTGGCCGACTGCTTCAGGCCGTAAATTGACTTGTGAAGTTTCCACACAGTACCTCGCTCATTGCCCTCAAACCCTGGAGGAGGAAGCATGTACAGATCCTCCTGGAGGTCTGAGTTCAAGTAAGCAACATCCACATCAAAATGATGCACCAGCAAACCTCTTTGTGCAGCGATGGCCAAGACCAAGCGTAGAGACTCACTCCTACACGTGGGCGCATAACTCTCCGTATAATGCAACCCCTCTGCTGCGTGAATCCTCTCGCCACTAATCTGGCCTTATACTGCGGTTCTCCTGTCGCTGTGGGCTTAAGACGGTAAACCCAGCGACTACCCACTGCCTTTTCACCCACCGGCAACTTCGTGAGGGAGAACACACCTAGAGACTCCATTGAGTTCATCTCCTTCTGCATCGCCTCATGCCATTTCCTGGCTTCTTCCTGAGGCAGTTTCTGAACATCCTCAAAACTCTCGGGTTCACACTGTGCCATTCCGACCCACACACTAGTGACGGCAAACCTTTCAGGAGGTTTCCCTGGTCGTCCTCGTTGAACGGCGCAGCACTACTCTGGAACCCCTCTGACCCACTAGGGCCAGCCAGAACGTCCTTGGCATCAGAGAGCCCTCTGACTTACTGCGCCTTCTGGACTTCTCAGCCGAACCTGTGGGGAAGATGGAGCACTGCGTTGCTCACTCTTCACAGCCTTGGGAGAAGTTCTCCCTCTGCCTGCACTGGGCCTGGACTCTGAGCCTCAGTAGCAGGTTCAACCTCTTCCTCTCCTTCATCAGCAGAGTCTAGCAGACTCTCTGACAGGATGTCAGGGTTTCCATGTATCCTTGCCCAGCCACTCTGCTCACAGAATTCAGCACTGTTGCTGAGCAGAATCCTGGACTGATTCCCTGACGGATACGCAAACCTCCACCCCTTGGTCCCTGGCTCATACCCACACAAAATCATCTTCTGGGACCTGGGTTCACCTTTCTTGCGTTTGGCCTTTGGTATGAGGACCCAAGCCTCACAGCCAAAAACGCGGAAGTAGTGCACTTTCGGTTTCTTGCCATGGAGCAAGAAATACGGTGTGTCACCTACCACTGAATTGAACGACCTGTTCAGAACAAAGTTGGCCGTTCGCCAAGCCTCCCCCAAAACGCTGTGGGAG